AAACGTAAGTTAGGTCATGATAACAAACGTAAAAATGAGTGATGTACCAGGACCAGAAGGAGCTGATCTTGGTTCCCGTCTTGGAGGCCGAGACCTCGGCCTTCCCGTTTCAGGGATCTCAGAGCAACTCCCTTGGGGTTCTGCCACATCTGGATGTTTCCCTCTCTCCCTTTTCTCTTGTCAATCATGGAATATGAGGGATAACATACCATTGTGGGGGCATTCTGGCTTGGAATAAAAAGTTATTGGTAGTAGTATTATTAAAAAGCAGAGAAGCCGTCCTTTGAACGACCCAAAGGGGACCCCCTCCCCGTTTCCAACTTCAAGGAATTCCAAGGTCACTTGGTTGCTGCCTATCTGATAGAGCCAAACGGAGCTTAGGAGACGTGCGTCTTCGGGGAGACAGGAAGCAACGGATGGGTTGCCTCCTTCGTTCATTAGAAACTCAAGCAAAAGAAGAAGAAGAGGAGGAAGAAGAAAGGCTCAGTTACACCCAAAGGACTCTTGAAAGGCACAACGAAACGGGAGCTTAACTGAAGCCAGAAGTTGGGTCTCCAGCCTCCTTTCCATCCTGGCAGCAGGTGACCCCGTTGAGTCTCCAAGGATCAGCCCAAGAGGAAGAGGACATAGTCAACATTTCAGCAGCCACGCAAAGCCCGGGCTAGGGATCCTGCGGTGGAAATACAACCTCTGGCTGTTCATAACAGGATCCACATTGTTAGGAACGGTCCCAAAATGATGTGTGTGTGTGTCCTGTTCAGGATCTTTATGAATGACTTAGATTAAGGGTGAGAAGGCAGGATCATCAAGTTCGCAGACAGGACCAAATAGGGAGGGAGAGCCAGTACCCCAGAAGACAGGAGCAGAACTCAAAACGATATGAAGAGATGAGAGAGATAATGGACCAAAACTAACAAAATGAAGTTCAATGGGGACAAATGCAAGATACTCCACTTAGGCAGCAAGAACAAAACAGCTGATCGGGCCTACAAGGAAATGGAGCCATGGGCTTTCAGGTGGCTAAATGGAAGCACAGTTGGAAAGCAATGAGAGGAAACATGATGAAGGCCATGTATAAATATGTGAGGCTCAAAAAGACAATGGGATTTTGGTCTGCATCAAGAGGAGCCTAGTGTCTAGATCCAGGGAAGTCATGCTCCCCATGCTCTATTCTGCCTTGGTTAGACCACAACTGGAATCACACTGTGTCCCATTCTGGGCACCACAATTGAAAGGAGATGTTGACAGAGCTGGGCATGTTTAGCCAAGGGAAACACCTGACTTTGTTCCTACATGCTGGTGTAGACAGCTCCAGTGCATTTCTGTATTTTAAAATCCCAAAACAGCTAATCAAGCTGTAAAGAAATGGAGCCATGGGCATACAGGTGGCTAAATGGAAAGCAATGAGAGGAGACATGATGAGGGCACCACAATTGAAGGGAGATGTTGACTCTAAGCTGGAATGTGTCCAGAGGAAGAGGGAGACTCAAAGGATCCCGGRTCTGGAGAACAAGCCCTATGAGGACAGAGCAGCTTAAASAGCTGGGCATGTTTAGTTGAGGGAAACACGTGACTTCGTTCCTACATGCTGGTGTAGACAGCTCCAGTGCATTTCTGCATTTTAAAATCCCAAAACAGCTAATCAGGGCTGTAAAGAAATGGCGCCATGGACATACAGGTGGCTAAATGGAAGCACAATTGGAAAGCAATGAGAGGAGACATGATGAGGGTCATGTATAAATATGTGAGGGGAAGTCACAGGGAGGACAGAGCAAGCTGCCCTGGAGACTGGGATGCAATGGAGCAATGGCTTCAAACTACAAGAAAGGAGATTCCACCTGAACATTAGGAAGAACTTCCTGACTGGGAGAGAGAGCTGATCAGCAGTGGAACTCTCTGCATTGGAATGTGGCAGAGGCTCCTTCTTTGGAGGCTTTAAAACAGAGGCTGGATGGGGGTGCTTTGAAGGCGATTGCCCTGCTTTTTGGCAAAATGGGGTTGGACTGAATGGCCCACCAGGTCTCTTCCATCTCTATGATTCTACTATGTACACACGGAGACAATCTGTGATACAATCCACAAGAAAAGTGCCAGAAAGTGCACAGGAGCATGACTGCATCTTTGGGATCCGGAAATGAAGGAGCCTGGGGCTGTTAGGAATAGCGAGAGTTGGAGTCCAGGGACAAATTTGCCCAGGCCTGATGTATAGAAAGGCTTGGTATCCGCAGGCCACGGCTCGGGAGAGATAGTGGTTGCAGGAAAGAGCAGGAATGGGCGGATGTCTCACTTTATGGCTCCTTGGTCTTAATGAAAATCGCCGTCAGATTTACAATCTGAAGGAGCAACTCCACAGGCTGATATGGTTAGGCACCAAGTGCTCTTTGACCCGAAGGCTTTGATCCGTGCCCGGCAGGTGGCCTCTGACCCCCTCCTGTGCGCCTCTCCCCTCTTCCGCCAGTCAGACAACCTTGATGTGCAGAAGCCCCCCTGACCCTGCGCAGGTGACGCCCGAGATCCCAAATCCTTATGGCTGGCAGCTAGTAGGAGGAGGAGGCTCTCCTCTTGAGCCAAAGGCCTCCGAGACGAGGTTGGGAAAGGCAAGCAAACTAGTCCAATGTGGGCTTGGCAAGGCGCCTCTTAGGTGGACCTGGAATTGGTTAAGCAACCGAACCCAAAGGGTGCTTCTCCCCAATGGTTCCTCCTCTTCATCCTGGAAAGAAGGGACTGGTGGAGCGCCATGAAGAGGGTTCGGTTCTGGGCCCAGTTCTTCATTAATCTATTGATGAAGGCTTTCATGGCCGGAATCGCTGAGAGATTCTGGGCTGTATGGCCATGTTCCAGAAGTTATTCATGATCTGGATGAAGGTTTAGAGCAGGCGTCCTCAAACTAAGGCCTGGGGGCCAGATACGGCCCTCCAAGATCATTTCCCCAGCCCTCACTCAGGGTCAACCTAAGTCTGAAATGACTTGAAAGCACGCAACAACAACAACTATCCTATCTCATCAGCCAAAAGCAGGCCCACACTTCCCATTGAAATACTAATTGTTAAAATTGTTCTTCATTTTAATTATTGTACTATTTTGGGAGCCCCCGGTGGCGCACTGGGTTAAAGCACTGAGCTGCTGAGCTTGTTGATCGAAAGGTCGCAGGTTCCATTCCGGGGAGCGGCGTGAGCTTCCTCTGTCAGCCCTAGCTTCTGCCAACAGGTAACAGGAAGGTAACAGCGCTCCATGCAGTCATACCAGCTACATGACCTTGGAGGTGTCTACGGACAACGCTGGCTCTTCGGCTTAGAAATGGAGATGAGCACCACACCCCAGAGTCAGACATGACTGGACTTCATGTCAGGGGACTACCTTTACATACTATTTTTAAGTGTTTTTTGCACTACAAATGAGATATGTACAGTGTGCATAGGAATTCATTCATATTTTTTTTCAAATTATAATCTAGCCCTCCAACAGTTTGAGGGACTGTGACCTGGCCATCTGTCCAAAAAGTTTGAGGACCCCTGATTTAGAGCAGTGGAGTGCTATTAAGAGGGTTCAGTCCTGTTCAACATCTTTATGCATGAATAATAATAATAATAATAATAATAATAATAATAATAATAATAACTTTATTTATACCCCGCTACCATCTCCCCAAGGGACTCGGTGCGGCTTACATGAGGCCGAGCCCAAAGTACATCAACAGTAAAAGCAATAAGAAAACAATCAAGACAACAGTTAAAATAAATCTAATAAAGAAAAGTAAACAATAACAGAATGACTTGGGTGAAGGCTTAGAGGGCAGTGGGATCATTTTTGCAGATGGGACCAAACTGGGAGAGACAGCTAATACTCCAGAGGACAGGATCAGGACACAAAAGGACCTGAACACATGGAGATTGGACAGAACCAACACAATGAAGATCAACAGGGACAAATACAAGGGACTCCACTGAGGCAGAAGAAAGGAAATGCTAAGAGATAGAGTAGGGGACAATAATGCCTGGCTCGACAGCAGGGCGTGTGAAAAAGATCTGGGAGTCCTTGTGGGGCCGTTATACAATTAACAAAGACAGACCGTACACAAACAGAGGCAAAGGCTTCCCATCTGTTTCCACATTGAAGTTCAACAGGGACAAATACAAGGGACTCCACTGAGGCAGAAAAAAGGAAATGCTAAGAGATGGAGTAGGGGACAATAATGCCTGGCTCGACGGCAGGAGGTTCGAAAAAGATCTTGGAGTCCTTGTGGGGCCATTATACAATTAACAAAGACAGACAGTACACAGACAGAGGCAAAGGCTTCCCATCTTTTTCCATCTCCGGCGTCTGGAGGCTGTGCTCAACTCCGGCCACAGGGAGGTGCTGTCACTCCATCTTCCATGCCAAGGAGCTTTGTTGTTGTTAGACGCTCTCTCGATCGAAACACTGGCATGTCCACATGGGCGCCTTCTATTACCTCTCCTCCAAAGCAGTACCTATTTATCTACTCACATTCCTGTTTTCGAACTGCTAGATTAGGAGAAGCTGGGCTGACAGTTGGGAGCTCACCCCATCCCGGGCTTGAACTGTCAACCTTTCAATTGGGAAGATTTTCTGTAGCTGGCGATTTAATATTTATTTATTTGTTTGCAGTATTTGTATCCCGCTTTTCTCACCCCGAGGGGGACTCAAAGCGGTTTACACATAAGTAATGGCAAAAATTCAATGCCAGTACAAACAGTTACAATTATGCACTCCAATTAGACATAAATCAAACTAAAAAAATACATCCATAAGCAATAAAACAATCAATAAAACCATAAAACAGTCTCGTCCGTTGAATTGTCGTTCCAGTTTAACCCGCTGTGCTAAAGCCCGGCCCTAATGTGTATAATGTATAATATTGTCAAGGGCTGGGATGAAGCATTAAGAATCCGAGCAGCAGAAGGAAATCTGTTTTGTCCTCAGCATGTTCCATACTGGGAAAAATTAACCTTTTCCTTTCCTCCCAACTTCTTCATTTTTAGAAAGTTAGAACGATGGCCCTGGAAGACGTGGTCATCCTTAACGTGGACACGAATACACTGGAAACGCCGTTTGATGATCTTCAGAGCCTCCCGAATGACGTGGTGAGTATAAAAGGTAGACTCTACTCGCGGTTCCAAACACAGAACACCTCCCTTTCCTTGTATTTTTCAAGATTTGTTGGATAATGTAGTAAGTTTTATTGCCAGGAGGATCTCACTCGGTTATAGCTGCAATAGTTTAAGGCATTGTTGCTCAACCTGGGGGTCTCTCATTGGGATTGAGGTTCTGGGCTTGAGCCTGCCACTTTTGGACTCTCGCTTGCTGAGGTGTTCCAGCGAGTGTCTCTGTAGATCTTAGAAAACTATGTCTAGATTTAAGTGGTTGATGTGCTGGCTGATACCCAAACACGGGATGAGCTGGAGATGTCTCTGCCTTGGTCCTTTCACTATTGGCTGCCACTTCCCGGCAGATGTCAGGTGGTGCAATACCGGCTAAGCAGTGTAATTTCTCCAGTGGTGTAGGGCGCAGACACCCGTGATAATGCGGCATGTCTCATTAAGAGCCACATCCACTGTTTTAGCGTGGTGAGATGTGTTCCACACTGGGCATGCGTACTCAGCAGCAGAGTAGCATAGTGCAAGGGCAGATGCCTTCACTGTGTCTGGTTGTGATCCCCAGGTTGTGCAAGTCTGCATTTGTATGATATTGTTTCTAGCACCCACTTTTTGCTTGATGTTCAGGCAGTGCTTCTTGTAGGTCAGAGCACGGTCCAGGGTGACTTCCAGGGATTTGGCTGCGCTGCAATGCTCCCGTGGGATTCCTTCCCAGGTCATCCTCAGAGCTCGGGATGCTTCTCTGTTCTTAAGGTGAAAGGCACATGTCTGTGTTTTAGATGGATTAGGGATCAGCTGGTTTTCCCTGTGATAGGCAATAAGAGCACCTAGAGCTTCGCAGAGCTTCTGTTCAACCATCTCAAAGCTCCCTGCTTGAGCGGTGATGGCACAATCATCAGCATAGATGAAGCTCTCTGTCCCTTCTGGCAGTAGCTGGTCATTTGTGTAGATGTTGAACATGGATGGGGCAAGCACACTCCCCTGAGGCAGGCCGTTCTTCGGTTTCCGCCATCTGCTTCTCTGGACCTGGAACTCAACAAAAAAGCTCCTGTTTTGTAGCAGGTTTCCTATGAGGCGGGTGAGGTGGTCGTCCTTTGTGATATTATACATTTTTCTCAGGAGGAGGCAGTGGTTTAGGGTATCATAAGCCGCTGACAGGTCTATGAAGACAGCTCCTGTGATCTGCTGCCTTTCAAAGCCATCTTCTATGAGGGGGGTGCTTTGAATGCAATAGTCCTGCTTCTTGGCAGAATGCGGTTGGACTGGATGATGGCCCACCAGGTCTCTTCCAACTTTAGGATGCTATGAAAAGAGCAAACTTGTGCACTTGGTGGGGTGCCAATCTGGGTTGGATCCTGGGGTCCTGTCCCCTAATGCACACGGAGGGGGGGAGAGCCTGATTTGTCAATAATTAAGCGTAATATTTGCTTTTACGGGCCTTGGTGAAGGCAGCCGCTGTGAGAGCGCCCTGCAACATCAGAAGAGGCGTCGCCAAATAAACCCAAAGCTTTGGAATGCCATAAACTTTAAGAGACTTCCTTCCCTTATTTTCCCCCCACTTCCAATTTTTTTTGTATTTTATAGCAGAAGAGAGCTGCATTCCCCCCAGTTAAATTTTCTCTCGGTCGGCTTAAAAGCGGCGACTCCGTTATTACGGTTGTTATTGCGGCTATTACGATTTGGAAGGATGTTTGGAGCATCTCGGAGGAAGTGCTGCCAGCAAATTCAATTAACGGGCTGAGCTTGCAAGGAAAATGAACGTGGTTGGGGCCTCCTCTCCCCTCCGCCTCCCCTCCCGGTGCTCCAAGCTGTTGCTTAACTACAGCTGGGTTTAATGGGGTCTGAAGGAAAAAATAAAGCTTTCAGGAGCATCCTTTTAGTTACCGTAATTAATAGCTTCCGACGTGCCCTCTCCCCACTCGGAAAGCTTTCTCGGCTGCTTTTAGGGGGTTTCCTGTCATGCTTTCGACCGCCCGGCTTCGTTTGGAATAGGGTGGGACATTGATTTCCCGTACGCCATGTGTTACGGACTCTGCAGAGATCGTCCACTTTGTGGCTGCAGGACCAGACTCAACGTTGATCCTTCTGGGTGCTTGCTCTTCCTTGGGTGGCGAGAAGGGGATCTGTTGCATTTGCATCCGCCGCTAGAATGTGCAGAGAGCAGCAAGGGAAGGAACGGAGCCAGAGTGAAGGCTGACCTTGCCGTCACTTACTTAAGCAATCCCTCATTGTCTGAGTAGGATAATAATCCAGGGTGCGTCCATAGGTGCCCTATTCTTGACCTGCATCTTCTCCCACAGTGAGGGCATCGGTTTCCAGGTGGAAGGTGGTCCTGGTTGGGGTTGGCTTGACGCGCCTTCCTCTTGGCACATTTCTCTCTTTCGCCTTCCATTCGTGTCTTTTCAAATTCTGCAGCACTGCTGGTCACAGCTGACCTCCAACTGGAGCACTCAAGGGCCAGAGCTTCCCAGTTCTCAGTGTCTATGCCAGAGTTTTTAAGGTTGGCTTTGAGGCCATCTTTCAATCTCTTTTCCTGCCCACCAACGTTCCATTTCTGAGTTCGGAGTAGAGCAACTTCTTTGGGAGACGGTGGTCGGGCATCCGGACAATGTGGCCGGTCCAACTGAGTTGATGGCGGAGGACCATTGCTTCAGTGTTGGTGGTCTTTGCTTCTTCCAGCACACTGACGTTTGTCCACCTGTCTTCCCAAGAGATTTGCAGGTTTTTCTGGAAGCAGTGCTGATGGAATCATTCTAGGAGTTGCATGTGACATCTGAGGACAGTCCACGTCTTGCAGGTGTATAGCAGGGTTGGGAGGGGAATAGCTTTATAGACAAGAACCCTGCGGATGTCCTGGTCCTCAAACACTCTCTACTTCATTCGGGAAAATGCTGCACTTGCAGAGTTCAGACAGTGTTGTATTTCAGTGTCAGTGTTGACTTTAGAGGACATCTATAGACAGTCCACGTCTCGCAGGCGTAGAGCAGGGTTGGGAGGGGAATAGCTTTATAAACAAGCCCCTTGGTCTCCCAACGGATGTCCCGGTCCTCAAACGCTCTCTGCTTCATTCGGAAAAAAGCTGCACTCGCAGAGCTCAGGCGGTGTTGCATTTCAGTGTCAATGTTGACTTTTGTGGAGAGGTGGCTGCCAAGGGAGTGGAAATGGTCCATATTTTCTAATGTTAACACCATTAAGCTGTATTTCTGGCATTGGAAAGGGATTGGCAGGTGCCTTTTGGTGGAAGAGCACTTTGGTTTTCTCCATTTTCATTCGGAAAAATGCTGCACTCGCAGAGCTCAGGCACTTTGGTTTTCTATGACAGGCCGAGCCGTTGCTTACTGGAAATGCTAAGATGTTTTCCTAACTCCCACCATTGGCATGATTGGTTTTGGCAAAGGTGCGCAAAGGTTTGCTGGCAGTACAGGTGGAAGTACCCGCTTTTATCTTCAGGTTCAGTGAGATGTTCTGTCCCAGTAAGACAGCCCAACAACAACGAACTTTCTTAGCCACTGTCCTGTGGGGTTCAATACTGTCCCCCATGTTTTATTGAACATCTACATGAAGCCTCTGGGGGAGATCATCCGGAGTTTTGGAGTTTGATGCCATCTGACGTCCAACTCGTTCACTCTTTTCCACCTGATGCTAAGGAATCTGTTTAAGTCCTGACAGCTGTGACAGTCTGGACAGTCTACAACAATTGTTATAGAACTCTAATATGCTGATGACAAAGTAGTCTAGGCACGTTCAGAAGAAGACCTACCAAACAAGGAAGGAATCAGAATAATTGCACCACAAAGAAGGATTACAAGGTTGAGATTTCAGGTTTTGTGGGGGGGGGGGGGGTTGGATAAAGAAAACTGCACAACAAACTAGAGCTGACAACTGGCACAACAAAGCATTGCAAGGGCAATTCCTTGAGAAAATGGAAGGAAAAGTTGATAAGGAGAAGTCCTGGTGATGTCTCACAAATGTCACCCTGAAGAAGGAGACAGAAGAAGGCCTGATTCTTGCAGCCCAGGAGCAAGCCATCAGGACAAAGGCTATTCAGGCCAGAATTGAAAAATCAGCGGATGACCCAGAATGCAGACTGTGCAAGGAAGCGGAGGAAACCATGGATCATATCCTCAGCTGTTGCAAGAAAATCGCACAGACGGACTACAAACAGAGGCACAACTCTGTGGCCCAGATGATTCACTGGAACTTATGCCACAAGGACCACCTCCCACCAGTAAAGAACTAGTAAAGGGATTGTAAACCTGCAAAGGGAGTGAACACGCAAAAACACTGTGGGACTTTTGAATCCAGACTGACAACGTTTTGGAACACAAGACACTAGACATCACGATTGTGGAAAAGACAAAAATCTGGATTATAGTCGCCATTCCAGGTGAGAGTCGCATTGAGGAAAAACAGCAGGAAAAACGCAGCCACTATCAAGACCTCAAAATCGAACGGCAAAGGCTCTGATTGCATCAACCAGTCCAGGTGGTCCCAGTGGTGATGGGCGCACTGGGTGCCGTGCCCAAAGGTCTCAGCCGGCATTTGGAAACAATAAACGTCGGCAAAATCACAATCTGTCAACTGCAAAAGGCCACCTGACTTGGATCTGCGTGCATCATTCGGAAATACATCACATAGTCCTAGACGCTTGGGAAGGGTTCGACTTGGGATTTTGTGATACGAAATCCAGCAGAGAGGTCTCAATGGCTGTGGCTCACAAATGAGACTTTGGAAAAAGGAGACAAAGGAGGGCCTGATTCTGGCAGCCCAAGAACAAGCCATTAGAACCAAGGCCATCCGAGCCAGAATTGAAAAGTCGACAGCAGATCCCAAGTGTAGACTCTGCAAGGAAGCGGATGAAACAATAGATCCCATCCTCAGCTGCTGCAAGAAGGTCGCGCAGACAGACTCCAAGCAGAGGCACAACACCCTTGCTCGGGTGATTCATTGGACCTTGTGCCACAAACACCTTCTGCCTGCGACAACTA